TTAATCACTGTTCATATATATATATATATATATATATATATATATATTACATCTGCCTTACATTACATTTTAATACAGCTGTAATGTGAGGACCTTAACCAGGATACTCTGTGAAATACATTTTTGGCTTGTACCTTTAAAACTAACCAGAATGATATGTTTTTTCTCTCTTTTAGACCTGAACCTCCCAGCCCTCAACAGTCCAACGGCATCAGCACACCTGAACAGCTAACTGGACGCTTCCAGGTCAGCTCTGAAGCTCTGAGGGACTTTTCATAAGTTTTATTTGCTTTGATGATATAAAATCAAAAGTTTAAATGTTTGCACCCACAAGAGTACTACACTTAAAAGTTATTAAAAAAATGTAAAAATAAATTTTAATACATGCATTATATTAATAGTTACTTTTACTGATCCCCTCATCCTGATACAGTAACATATTTGATTTAGGGCAGACCAAGTTACACAGAAGACACTTGAAATCATGTTTTAACCTCCTTCTCTTTTTGTGCATAGGAGGCAGTCATAGTGAGTCGTGACGAGAACCAGAACTATAGAGAATATAAAATCTCCAGTCCCACGTCAATGTCCCCAGGACCCTATTCATCATATTCTACTGCCAGCCCCGACAGAAGAGGGGAAAGACTGACACCAACCTTAAATAAGAGGTAGCTCCTCTGATTATTACTGAACATTTTAGAGTGTGGAACATTGTATCATGTTCACAGATGCAGGGGTTTTGCACATTTGATTTGTATCACAATAATTATTCCTTCATATCCTGCTTCTGCTTAAAGTTAAAACAAGAATGGTGGGAACTAATGACCAGTTTAGGAATCCTTTGTCAGTGTTGCTTGTAGAACAGAATATTACATTTCAGAAGTTACACACTCCTGTTAAGGTTGCTTAGAAAAGAGTTCAGGCAATAAGAGTGAAGGTGTAGCTTCTTAAAAATTGACTAAAAGAAGCAAAGTGAACTGCGAGCCTTTTAGAAGCCAGTCTATGCATTCAGACACAGACCTGTGTTTAGACAAAGGACAGCACCAAGTGTCTCCACATTGGGCGAGTCAATAGGTATGTGAGTGACACACAGAAAGTGGGGCCATGGGGTTGTACTGTTGTAACAAAAGATATGCACAGCATATCGCATTCCTCCTTTTACAATGACTTTAACAAAAGACAGAATAGGGAATGTTCACCATTATTTCTGAGTGTGCACTGCAGTTGTTTTTACTCCCAGCCAATTTTTATTGGAAGCAGTTTGTTGCTTTTGTCTGGACCCATGAATATTTCAGCCCACGACAGTATTTGATCATCCATTTTGATTTAATTAAAGTTTCTCCGCTTCTTTTATATCTTATTGATTTTTTTTGGCACCATGTGCTGCCAGATATCTGAAGATAGTCAATAGATTTAAAGCGTTTGTTCTCTGTATGGTTCCTTTAGTAAAAGATGGAAACAAAGCATCACTATTGGAAATTTAAGGATGACTAATTAGACAAATGTTTAGCAAATTATTCTAGTGCATTATATGTTCTTAAACGAGTCAAATTACAAGTGAATATTTTCAGAATTAGAGTTTCTCTAATAGCTTTTATTTCCCTAAACTTTGCAGTGCTTCTAATAAATAATTAAAATATAAAAACTGTTGCATGCATTGGTGTTCCTCCTGCATGACTCAATACTGTTAAACTGCAGCTAAATCTTGAACTCTGTGTGCCTGTCTCACAACTTTGTGTATAATGAGGCAAATTCTTTTGTCTCACTTTCTCGGAAAATAGCTAAAGCTCAGTTAGTTAGGGTTTATTGTAGATGAAAGCATTCTTTTCCAAGTCGTGCAAAGGATTCTCAGTTTTGGGAGGTCTGGACTTTGAGTGGGGCATAAAAATGCAAGAATCAGCTTTGATGTAAACTCTTCCATTGCAAGGATCTATATGTTTAGGGTTGTGTTCTGATGGAAGGCGAGCCCTGTACCAGCTTAGACTTTTGCTTTCCCAATATATATGTTCTTTCAGAATATTAAGCATATGCTTGTAAAAAGTGTCAAAACAAAGTATCTGTAATAAAACCCTGTAACTGGATACAATACTAATTTGAAATGGTATAACTAGTACACTGCTTAAAAAAATGAAAGGAACACTTTGAAAACACATCAGATCTCAATGGGGCAAAAAAAAACATGCTGTTTATTTATACTTATATGGACTGGGTGATGTGTTAGGAACAAAAGGATGCCACATCATTTGATGGAAAATTATCAACCTACAGAGGGCTGAATTCAATTGACACCCCAAAAATTACAGTGAAAAAATTATACGGCAAGCTAGTCCATTTTGCTGGAATTTCATTGCAGCAACTCAAAATGGTATTCAGTTATTTGTATGCCCCCCCCCCCACGTGCGTGTATGCATGCCTGACGTCTACGGCCCTGTCCAGCTCTCCTGGAGTAACTGCCTGTCTCCTGGAATCTCCTCCATGCTCTTGAGATTATGATGGATGGACACAGCATGCCTTCTGGCAATGGCACATATTGATGTGCCATACTGGAGGATTAGGACTGCCTGTGCAACCTCTGTAGGGTCCAGGTAGCGTCTCATGCTAACAGTAGTGACAGTGACCCTAGCCAAATGCAAAACTGGTGAAAACGAGTCAGAAAAGATGAGAAGGGGAAAAAATGTCAGTGGCCTCCACCTGTAAAACCATTCCTGTTTTGATGGTCGTCTCGTTGTTGCCCCTCTAGTGCACCTGTTGTTAATTTCATTAACACCAAAGCAGCTGAAACTGATTAACTAACCCCTCTGCTACTTACCTGACCAAATCAATATCCCAGAAGTTTAATTAACTTGATACTATACTCTGATTACAAAGTGTTCCTTTAATTTTTTTGAGTAGTTTATATACAGGTCTTTTTTGTTTGCATGTTTTTTTGTTATTTTAGTTTTCTGTATTTCCTCATCAGAAGTTTAAAGTATTAATGGCCTTCATTTATTTATTTTTAAGTATGCAGGGATGTATTGAAAGAGTGGGGAAGACATGCTTTAGAGGTCAACCTCCCGAGAATCGAACCCGTAACAGCAGCGGCTTAACCCCTGCACAATAACAGAATAATACATTCGAGAACCTTAAATACTGTAAAATAAATATTGTGACAATTTTTTCAATCATCTTGCATTTATTTCAATACATATTTAAATAGCAACTACGATTCTGTTGAGAAACATTTTCGATGTTGAGTTTAACAAGTTTTTAATATTAATAAAAATATTTTTTATGTCCTTTTATTATTATAATTATGTTTCATCCCTATGGTATGAAAATTGTTATCAAGTATAGAATGTTTTCCTGAGGAATGACATTAAGTTTGTATCTGGACAACCCTAATTTATCTCCATCTATTTACCATAAACCCTGACTAGGGTCCCACAGCGTAATGCTGCCAACAGAAGCATGTCTGCAATATTTTTTTCTTTATTCAAACAACTTGTTTTGGTTTCTTTCCCTGAATATTATGACTCTGATATGGCCAAATGTTGGATATGTTTATGATTTACAAGGCACAATATTATTGTAACCTCAAAGGCAATGTTCTGCATTAGAGACTTATTTTTGTCTATATTTTACAGTGTGCAGCTGCGCTCATGGTCACCAGAGGAAAAAAATAACCGTGTCTCCAGGCCACAGTCTCAGGTTGGTTTCAGACATTTGCTTATAAATATTACAGTCAACGCAGATTTTCCTTTTCCTGATTTCATTTATATTTTCCATTTAAGTGACTAATACCTTTTTACTCTTATAATAACATGAATCTTCTCATAGCCTACTCGAAATGTATTTGAAGGGCTCGAACAAATTGTTCTTTCTGTAGTTTTTCTGTTAATAATTGGTATTTATTTATTTGTTTTATTTCCTGATTGTTTTTTATTTTTTTTATATTGAAGATGGGCTCCAAGAATATTTTCTGGGTACCTGGAGCACTTTCTATCTGAAAATAAATCTGTCAAGCACATGTAGCCAGTATATTGGACAGGAATTCACAGAGAAACACAGTTGACATTAGTTTATTTCCCCTTCTTTCCGTTATTTGAACTATTTATTTTAACTGCAATGGGCCAGTTTGCAAAACTAACAAACTGAATTATTTTCCTTTTCTACTGGATTGTTGTTCCCTGATACAACAGAAGGTGCCCTAAAAAGGGTTTGTGGATGGTTTGTTACATGTGACGGGAAAGGCAGGGAACGGAGAGCTTTGACATTTTTATAGCAGGGAGTGTATAGGCTTCAAAGGTCAGTTGTTAAAAATATTTGGCATTATGTTATACAGCAGTTTGGAGCCATTCAGAGATCATCTCAACAAAAAAATTATGGCATTGTGTCAGAACAATGCTTTAACCTTTGGCTTCCAAGCATAGTAAACTAGAAGTAAAGTATAGACTTTGGGTTCTAAGACTGCTTGTAATCTATGCTTAGTCTATTTACCCTTCCAACAAAAAGAGGGGGAGACCAGGGCATCTGGAAAGGCTTCATTGAATTAAAAAGAAAAAATGTTCTGGGAAAGTTCATCACAAGCTATTTCAGCTATGCTTGCATACTTGATCTCATGCATTCGGTCCCAGCAGATGACAAAACATGTAAATGACAACGTACAAAAAAAAAAAAAAGAAAGAAACGAAAGAAAATTTTTTTGACCTTTTGTGGTTGCTAAAAGAATTCCAGACATTTTTTAAACTCTGGACGTGACATAAAGTTGGATAAATAATCAAAGGTTTGAACCTAAAAACAATCAAGTATTTTTTTTTAGAAAGCAGCTGGCTGAGAAGGTCAGGTTCATGAGATAAAGAAGGGATGCTTTTGGATCCATTGCTTGTTGAAAGGACCGTCACTCAAAGCTTTGGGAGTTTTCTGAAACTGTTCTGGAATTTGGTCCACTGGGTGAAAGTGGATGCTAAGGCGATTTCTTTTCGCTAAAACTTTGGACCGTCATTACTGACATTAATAACTTTAGTCTGAACTTTTGTATTAATCCCAGACCCTGGTGCATGCAAGACCAATCAAGAATGCAAAAGACATTTTCACAACAAGTGATAAGACCATTGTGTTGTGCACTAGGGCTAATTTTTGCTAGGAATGTTTTCCAGATGTCATTTATATGAATGGAGCAACACTGCTTACATCTATAGTGAGATGAAACTAATACTGTTCAGCAATCTCAAAATATTCTTAAAAAAGAAAATCCTTAAAAAGTTTGATGCACATTTTTTATTTGCCATCCATCCCCACCCTTGGATCAAATCTTAATAGGACAACCTTTTGTTTCATTTATAGCTGAAGGTTTCAACCAGCTTCATACATCTAGAATCTGAAATATTTATTCCTTAAACATATTTATTTAATTATAGCCCTGGCTGTATAGTTGGTCGTTTTCATATTGGAAGGTGAATGTACACATTTTTTCCTGCCATTCAAGAGCTGTTTACTCGGGAATACCTGTATTTTAGATCCATTTTATCATCAGTTCCTGCTGCATGATGCTGCCATCAATATGCAATGATGCGTTCAGGAGCTTAGCAGTCCTAATTTCCCATCATATGTTGCATCTTGGCAAAAAATATCCACTTGGCTCCCAACAATAAGAGCCTTTTCTCCCTAGTTGGTTGATTGATAACTAAAACTACTATTCTAACAGCACCAATTTTTTCACGATTTTCTTCTTTTTATGATTTCATAAAGCCCATATTTGTAGATTGCACAACTGAAACCTTTTTGTTATCCTCCTGAGCCATAGATCTCTGCAGCTCCTCCTGAGTCGCCATTGCCCCCATAATTATATGACTGATTAATGCTTTCTTGTCAGTTTAGGTCAACAAAAACATCTTTGAATTTTTACCCTCATGCTGCATGTTTCAATGATGGCTTGAACATTGCTCTGCGAGACTTAACAGAGTAATTAGTTAACAATCTCAAGGCCCTTTGCTGCGTCCCCCTGTCTTCATGATGCTATTTGTTCTCTATTGTTCTCTTATCTCTGAGGCCTTCAGAAAGAAGATAACTACACTCAGATCAAATGACACAAAAGTGCAATCCACCAATTAGATAACTTATTAAGGCAATTGGTTGCTCCGCGTTTTATCCTATGGGCTTCAGCTACATGCAGACTCTCTAAACTTTGGTGACTCACCATATTTTGTTTGTAATTAAAAAAAAATATTCATTTCATAATTAACTGGTTTTAACAGTTTAAAGTTTGTATTGTTGCTGAGAAAGCTGATGGGGTGGTTGCTATCTTGTTTTCAATTTTTTTCTTAAGAGTTATGGGGACAGTTTAATTCAATAGTTTGAGTTTTGCACCGAGAGCAGCTTTACAGTTGCGTAATATTAGTTACGTGTGCGGATGTGACTTCCTTAACAATTAGCACAATAATGGCTCTATTTCTCAATAAAAGCTGCATTTTTTTAGGGAGATTTTGAGCTGGTATGCCAGCTGTTAAAACTTTTATCCTTAACACATGACGTCACACCAACACAACCTTTTCTTATCTATGGCAACTTGAAAGCAAACTGTTTACTCTGCTGGGTGAATTGAGGTCAGTAGTTAACTTGAAAAAACTGCCAGTCTGTCCTAAAATACTTTTAAATTGTTTGCAAGAAATGATTTGTAATGAGTTATTTTTGATCATCTAATTTGCCCTTTTTTATTTTTGCATTGAGGTAAAGATGATTATTTCATATTAGTTTAGACATTTATTCAGAGATTCAAATAATTAAATTTTTCACTTTGCATTTAAAGCTCAGTAACTCATAAGCATAACTAATCTTCTTTCAAATGTGTTTCAGTGATGAGCAAACTTTGTAAAGAAAAGATTTGGCCAAGAATAATCAAACAAACATTTTAAAGCATTTTGGGAATTGTAGGATTTTTCCATGCAGTATTCTGGCTTTGCGGACCATTGAATGTTTCAGTTTGTAAACAAGTATTTAGTAACAGCTGTTTCTTCTGTTTAAGTTCACATATTCAAATTGTGGCTTGATTTACTATAAGGCTTAAAATGGTGCCTACTCTAACTCGGGCCCTTCTAAGCCACAGTGAAATATTAGAGTTGCTTTTTAGCATTTAAAAACCACATTCAGAAACCCACAGCGGAGTTCCAGCTTGATGTGGCTTACTGCAAATCATGGAGGAGCGAACTGGAAGTCAGCCATTTAAAGAGCACATTAGGAGCTATGTTTTATAAACTAACTCCTTTGGAGGGAATATCCTGTTTTTGAAACAAGCAAGCATGTTTTCGGTATCAGTCAAGTAACTGTTTGAGTTTTTTTTTTTCTCGTCATTGGCTTGTCTTGCATTAGTTTCGCTTGTCTTGCATTAGATTCCCTATGGTTTTGGGTATTTAAGTGTAGTCTTGTTGAATTATTTTATTATTGTTTATTAATGTACTGTATATTGTTGAGAATATTTCTGTTTTATCTGACTCAGTCCCTTAACTGATGAATATTTATTTCTCAATGATGATGATCAGCCTCCTTCTGCAGCTCTGTGAGTAGATCTTTTTCGTTTGATTTCTTGGGGAAAATCTCTGGGAAGAGGCTTGCTATGGCTTCATTGTGCATTATATTGCTGGAGCTGGCAGGAACACTGCAGCCCAATGAGAGTGGAGAAGTGGAAAAGTCCATGACAACAGCTTCTGTACTGCCTGAAAGGTGTATAGCCCTGCTGTATCAGGTGATCAAGCTCACTGAAAAAAGCTCTAAAAGCTTTCCACCCCTCGTTTGGCTTCCTGAGCTGAGTGAGGGGGATGCGCAACAGGATCCCCTGCTTTCCATGGTGTTGGATAGCTTGAGAAAGAGCCCTTTGACAATAGTGGCTCTGAGGGGAGATGCTGTGGAAGCCTGGTGCTGCTTTTCCCTCGTGTCACAAGGCTTGTTGTTGTGTGATTTGAGCTGGAACAGAGATTGGGGGGGTGGGGTTTACACCAGGGAGCCTCCTGACCTTCCCAAGCTATTCCCAATATTTAATGCTTCTGATTTGGATTCACTATAGATGTAAGCAGGCACTGCCTGCCTGCAGTGGCCTCATAAAATACATATATGTTTCTGTAAAGAAAAAAAAAAAGTCTCCTACCCAGAATTGAACACAGCATTTAAACATTGAGTTATTGAGTTTGATGGGAGAATACATTATTACTTAAGTATCCAGTGTATTAATATCATTTAACCGTTTTACATGTTGCTAATGTGCATCTACAACAAGAAAGTCAAGTATCTATAATGACATAAATGGATGAGAACATGTACAGGAAAGTTTTCTGGTCACTGAGACCAAGGCTCATATGCAAAAAGCTCCAGTTTGCAAAAAATAACACTATGCATCACCTGAAAAAGTCCCCTGTAGTTCTGCTTGGTACTTGAAAAATCATCCTGTGAGAATGATTGACTTCTTTACAGAGTGGTTAATTGATGCATGTAGTTAAAATTAAAATTCAGGACAGAAAACTTGTTAGAGGCTGCAACTTTGAATTGTAAAAAAAGAAATTTAGGACAACCCCATTACACAACATAAGTTAATTTCCACGGTTTACTGTATATTCGTTTGTTTAAATTACCTTGTCAATAAAGCAGTTCTGAATCTGTAGCAACACTTCACATTTATTTCCACAAAAACTCACCAGCAAAACTTAATGAGCTAAAGTTAT